GGAGTTCAGTTGAAGACGGTTGAAAGACAAAGAGTGGTGACAGCAGTTAGAGACGGCAGTTCCACGACATAATAGCCACCATAAAGGAAATGGGTAGTTATAAACTAATCAAGCAGTTTCTAAATGGTTGATCACGAAAAAATCATCAAGGGAATATAAAAGGAAGAGAAGACATAAAGAAAAAGACCCTGAATCAAACACTCTCAAATAGAGAATATGTAATTTCAATTTCTTAGTTTAGACTTAAACATTTCTATTCAATACTCGTGTGCTTGCGCCCCTTGGAGGCATTCTGTTTAGTTCCAATTGTAAAGTCATCGCCAATAAAACACCTCTTTTTGGGACTTTGTCTCAAGAGATTTGTTCCTTATACAATCGTCTGATCCCTTTTTAATTGTTAGCGACTACCCACACGAAACAATTGTATTTGATTGGTACAATTTTTCAAGTGAAAAATGTTGAAATAAAAATATTTTTTAATATTCGTTTGACTTTGTTTCGCAAGAAAATTGTTAATTAAAAGGATAAAATTTATTGATATTGAGGATGAAATTTATTTCTATTGTCAAAAAAATTAAAAAAAAAAATTCAAGAAAATCATCTATCTTTTGGTGTTCGTTTGGCTTTGTTTTACATAAAAATTGTTAATTAAAAGGATGAAATTTATTATAATAATTCTTAAATTTTGTTTCAATTGCAAAATAAAAGACGTCAATTATGAAAAAATAAAAGATGAAAAAGGAATTTCATGCCAAATTTGTGCCATCAAACACATAAAAGATGGAAAATATATTCCATTTTCCATGAAAAATATAACACAATCAAACATGGCCTTAGAGTTCATTTGATTGCAAGAATGAAATTTGGGTGGAAAAAAAACGAATTTTAGTGAATTGAATTGCCTAAAATTTATTTTATTAGGCATTTTCAATTAAATGTGTTTGATTGATTTAATTTTTCACCTAGAAAATATTGAAATTTTGGATCTTTTGGTGTTTACTTGGCTTTGCTTTCCATGAAAACCAAAAACCACAAAATTCATGGGAAAACATTTTCCTCAAAAAGGTGGAAAATGGGGTGTACCAAGAAAACCAGTTCCAGGGAAGATTTGGCTAATCGAATATGCAAAAATGTGGATAATGAAATTTAATTCCCTAATTCCATGGAAAATTTCACCAATCAAACAGGGCCCTAAAGAATTGTAAACTAAAATTATTTTTTGTTGATTGTTGATATGGTCAATTTCGTTGGTCCCGACCTTTAATCTCGAGGATCCACAAGGACCTGTCTACGATTCCAATTCCATTGTCACTGTGCTCGGGGTTTGTCATAGTCATCAAGTTCGACGTATGCTCGAGCTTTTGTTTTACATGATTATAACATTTTTGTGGGAACCATCCTCGGGATATATCCTTGGGTTATATGAACTACTCGAAGGAATGATGCCCTAGAGCCTTCCCTCGACTAAACTCAAGGCCATTCCACTTAATCTAAAAGGATTGCTAAGTCCTTGGGATCCTAGCCCTATCCAAACATCTTAACCCAAGACTCTTATGACTAGGACTCTATATCAACAATATTATCATTGAAATTAGATTGGCCCTGCAATTATAGTACAAGTTCAAAACCCCTCTCAAGTAAGACTATTTGAGATAAGGATATTCAACTAATTTAGTCCTACTAGAAACGCACTACCTACACTATAAATATAGAGCTTTAATTCATTATTCAATTACACTTTTACATGATTTTTAGTTTATTGCCTCATGCATAAATTCTCTCTCTAACTTAAGTATCGAAAGGACAACGAGGACACACCTTGACATCTTTGTTTCAGGTACCAAAAGATCTTTTTTTTTTGTTTCAATCGTCTAGCTTGGAAGTCAACAAGTTAGCATTATTGACGCCATTTGCGGGAAGCACTACCAAAATCCATTGTTAATACATGTTAAGGTCTTTGTCCAACAAGCCCATCCGTCCTAAACCCTCTTCCTCCTGAAGATCCCCATGTTCCTCAAGAAGAATCATTAGAAATGCTAGCACCCCAATGAGCAGTTGTTACGGCTAGAGCTTTTGAAGAGCTCCATCAACAGGTTGTCACGCTAACTCAACTATTAAGTCAGAGGAATTTGCATCCATCACCTACACCAACATCCCAAGGAGGGTTTATGGTCGTTGCTCAGGCTCGGGCTCCATGTTTTATTCCATATGTTGTGGAGCCGGGACCTCAAGTATACCCCATGTGACCTCAACCTCGAGATCGATGATCATAGAGTCTAGTGAACTTGCCAGGATCATTCAATAAGGGTTTAAGGCGGGACTACTTCAGAACACTAAGTAGTAAAAGAATCAGAAAAATAGTAGCTTCAATGATGCAGCTTCACCAAAGGCAAAATGAAACCTTACGTGATTTTATGATGAGGTTCAATAAAGAAAGGCTCCAAATACCTGACCTACATATTACAGTAGCTGTCTCTGTCCTCACATATGTCATAAGATGTCATGCATTCAAAATGTCCTTATCAAAAACTATACCAAAGTAAGTGATTGAACTCACGAGGTGAAAAATACATTAATATGGAGAAAATATTGAATCCGAGGAAAATCGGCCTGACTTATGAAAGGGTTGCGCATAAAGGCAGCATGATTCGAGTCCTCAACAAGAAACAGGAGTATTGCCAACATCATTCTCTCGGTTGAACACTCCCAAGATCGACGTCTTAATAGAAATCAAGGATATAGAGGAATTGAAGTGTCCTTCAAGGATGAAGAACCCTCCTGACACCCTAGATAAGAGAAAATATTAAGACTTTCGTCAGGATCACAGACATACCACGGAGAATTATAAGGCCTTATAGCGGGAGATTGAGGCCCTTATTAAGAGAGGATTCACGTGTTCTTATGTTGGTTATAATAAATGCTCGAGGAATGATTATGACTGGAAAAGCCCCTAAGGCCAAAGATAGTGGTCAACCTACAATATGAACCATTAATATTATTATCACTCTGAAGCAAACATCACCACCACGGATCTTTTAAGAAAACAATGACAAAGAGTCTGTTATAAGCAACAACGAGCACCGCTGCTTCATGGTGGTCACAGATCTATGTGTCTGAAACAGAAAGGTATGAATCAATGTTGGTGTGGTGGTCTACAGTAATGTGTTTGGTAGTGTATGCGGTGGTTTTGTAGTGATGATGCTAATGGTGGTGGTGCAGTTGGTGGAGGTAGTGTACAACAGTGATGGTTTTGGGGTTTTAGGTTGGTTTCTTCCTTCGATCTGCTTCCTCGGAGCTTTGGAGGGTGCTCATGCGATTTTTTATTTTTGTGGTGTTCGTGTGATGCTTAAGCGGTATTCTTATTTTTTGTTTCTGTTTTAGATTGTGAGGTGGTGGTGGCGATGTCGCAGTGCCGACTTTTTGGTTTTTGTTTTCGTTTCTTTTGTGAGTTTCAAATTGTATGGTGGCGGCGGTGTAATTGTGAGGTGGTGATAGCTTTTTGTGTTTTGTTTCTTTTTGTGGGTTCCAGATTGTCAGGTGGTGGTGATGATAGTGACAGTGTCAACTCTTTAGGTTCTTTTTCTATTTCTATTTGTTACAGATTGTTAAGGTGGTGTTGGCAGTGAGGTGGTGGCGGTGGTAGTCATAGCAATGTTGTGGTGATTGTGGGTGGGATGGCATGGGGTGGGATTTGTGATCATTTAATTGATTGTTATCAATAAATTAGTTGATTTGTGACCAATAAATAATAGTTGACAAATTATTTGAGATTGTAACCAATAAATTGGACTTGTGATGAATAAATAATGTGACCTAAAAATTTGAATCGTAATTTATAAAATTTGTGATTTGTGACTAATAAATAAATTGTGACCCATAATATTTTCAATTTGTGATCGTCAAAGTAATCTATGACCAATTAAATTGTTAATATGAAGTTGTGAACTATAATGTTTTCGATTTGTGATCTGAAATAAGCTATGATTAATTAATTTGATAATATGAAGTTGTGACCTGTAAGTATGTGTTTGTGACCATGAATTGTAAAATTGTGACTTTAATATATTTATTTGATAAAATATTTTTAATTAATTAATAAATACTTGATTTTTGCATTTTTAAACTTAATGCCAAAAAATTGATTTGATACATACTCAATACCTGATTTATGATACCTCACCCAAAAAAAAAAAAAAAAAAAAAAAAAAAAAAATCTATAGTGGCATAACGAAGTGAGGCGTGGGCCTTTGGTAGGCTTACCCTCCAGTAAATCTCTTTAGGATTCTTCACAATTGAGATTGTCGCATGGAGGGGGGTTTGGGGAAATTTTATGCCGAAGAAGTTGAAAGAATCTCATTTTTATTTTTGGCTTCTTTTCTATTTGGGTAAATATATTTATAGCACAATCTTTGTTAACTTCACCACATTTTAATTATAATGAACATCTCTAAACTTTTTTGTCTTTACACTTATGTTCTCAACATTTAAAAAATATATATCATCAACTCTCTATTAGCTGTCACATCTTGTCTATAGAGATGATTTTCATCCAAAATACTTGTTATAAGGCTAAAACAAAATTATTTCTCTTATTTTCAAATTATTGAAATAAATAACTAAGTACAAAACTTAAACAAAATTTTTGCCAATCTTTTCAATGCATGTTATTATAATATTTTGATGAAAATGGTGATTAGAGATAAACTATATTAATTAATTGAAGGTTAAAAATGATAAATGCAACGAGGAATAAGTTGAGGATATGAATACAAAAGCGAGCAAATATTGAAAACCTGTCTTGTAATTAAAATATGGTACAGATATAAAAAATTATTGTATGAATCTAATGCCGCTTTATATTTTTATGAGAAAAATGTAAATTTATCATTTTGCCCTAAAAAAAATAGTCAAATGTTTGACTTTTACTCCATTAACGTTTTTTTACCATCTAAAGGTCTATTACCGCATATTTTTGAAATATTTGAGATGTTCTACTATGATTTAAAGATTTAAGACCTATTTTCATGTTTTGAAAAATTTTGGACCTTTGGTGCAAATTCTCCCGATTTATTAAGAGAGAGAATATTACAAAGTACAACATAGTTTATTGGTATTTCATTCGATAGCGTCTGAGACTTAAATTTGCTAGATAACAAAAATTAAAATCGTCTTTCTCAGTTTTCTGTAGTCATTAAATGGGGAAGGCTGATCAATCCACCATCCACGACCAAGTCATGCCCAGTAACAAATGCCGAATTGTTTGATGCAAGGAACAATACGGCATCTGCTATATGGTTAACCGTTAGTGTAGTTCCTTTCAAGGGTGTGAAAGGCCCGAACGCCGTTCGAACTCCCTCGCTCGTCAACCCCGCTTGTGCCGCCATTGGGGTTGCGATTGCAGATGGCGAAACGCAGTTAACTCTAATTCCATGTACACCAAGCTGCTGGCTAGCTGCTCGGACCAGACCCAAAATAGCGTGCTTTGACATGACATAGTCGGTCATATTCGTTCCTCCCCTGCAATTGGTGGCAGCCGCACTAGCAGTGCACACAATGGTTCCCTTGACACCTTTCTCCACCATAGCACGAGCGGCATGCTTCACACATGCTGCCATACCGTGTACATTGACACCGAACAAGGTATCGAATTGTGAAAAATTTAAATCGAGTATTGTTTGTTCGGATTTACTTGGTACTCCAGCGTTACTAAACATGATATCGAGTTGATCATATTTTTCCACTGTAAAGTCAACCATGGCCTTCACTTGTTTTTCATCGCTACTGTCGCAGTGCACGTAGCTACACCGCTCCCCACCGATGGATTCAGCCACAATTTGACCTTTATTGTCTTGCACATCGGCAATCACGACCGCCCGCACACCGTGATCGGCGAAAAGACGTGCAGTGGCCTCCCCAATACCACTTGCACCACCGGTGACAATGGCAACTTTTCCTTGTAGCTTTCTCAAGGGCAAAGCAGATTCAGAGTGTGCCATTTCTTAATCACAAAATCGAAAAAATAAGTGGCGTATGGTTTTCACTTTCCTGAGGTCTAGATGATAAACATGGGCTGCTAAGAATTCTATTGCTGATTATTATGTATATATAGGCTTTAGTTTCTACTTAATTTCAGTCCATTAGAGCGGCTGAGGCGGTTTTCAACATCCAACGTTGGGGACGTGGTTTTGAATATACTAATATGCTGTGATTTGACTAATGGCTTAATGAAGTTGTAGTAAATTTTGATACATTAAGAAAAAATTAATATTAAAGTTTTAGATGAGTATGGAAAAGAAAGAAGAATGAAAATTAATTATTGATTTTTGGGATCATTTTGTTAATTTCAGAACTGAAATTAATATTTTTAGGATTTATTCGAGCGTTGGCTAAGCTTAGCAACTCTATTTTGTGTGTGAAAGTTGAAACTAAAGAAAATTAATGATCTTTTAAGCTTAACAATTTTTTTTTCAGATCTTTCTATTATGACCTTGTTCGATGGGAATTAAAATCAGATTTTTAGTAAATTTTGATATAAGTTGATAAAATATTTGATTGAAAAAATTGTGGAATCCATACAATATATTATTGGAATAAATTGTTGACTTTGACTATAATTAAAATCTAAATTTTAATCTGAATGCACTCCGGAGGTCAAATATGGATTTCCATGGCAATCACTGCTGTACAAAGGTGACCGAAATTAAGCAATCAAATTGAAAGAATTTTTTATAATATATGGTTGGTTAGACTGATAATGAAATAATAAAAAATACTGGTATTATGTAGAGATATAAATAAAGTTAATTATGTTCAACTCATCTTGTTTTTGCATCTATTTATTTATTTATTTTATCATGACCCATTAAGATTTAGAATTCCATCGTACAATGTCAATTTTATTAAGAGAGATAGCACAAAACATTATGTATTGATTTATATTTTTATTTTTATTGGATGTGAGATTTATCCTCTACAAATTTACGATGCTGTCCACGCAAAATTGGTTGATGTTGAAGAGGTCTCCATTTCATGTCGTCTGGGTTCTAATAATATATATATATATATATATATTGATAAAATATTCTAGAAACAGGTTCTACTCTCCAAGTAATTACTTTAAAATTAATCTTTTCTAGGTCCTATATCTCTATTATTTGAATTTGATACGCGTACTCATTGAATATCTCAAACATGATTCTAGAATAGAGATTCTTTATTCAATATATATAGAACAAAACGAATGCCAGCGTCCTACTCGATATAGAAGCCATCAAAAGGAAATGGACAAATAGTGCAAAGCTGATAAGGAACCCATCAAGAAGATATTTTTTATTGGAAGTAACATAAATTCATTTCCATACAAATTAGTAAAACATTTTACCCCTCCCCAATAATCAATCCTCTCTAATTTAGATATTATAATATATATTCTAATTTCTTGAATCTCGTTTTGGATCGGGAAGGCCATTGAGCCCACCATCCACCACCAAGTCATGTCCAGTCACGAAAGCTGAGTCGTCTGAGACGAGAAACAGTACAGCTTCTGCTATATGTCTAACTGTTAATACAATTCCTTTCAAACTTGTCAATGGCACAAAAGAATTTTCATATATTTTCTCAACATCTTTCGTAGTGATCTGGTTGGCTTCACATGTCAATGGAGTTACTACAGCAGATGGTGACACACTGTTTACTCTAATTCCATACTCTCCTAGTTGTCGACTGGCTGATCGGACTAGTCCTAAAACTCCATGCTTTGACATGGCATAGTCGGTCCGGTGAACAGCCCCTCTCGTGGCGGCCACACTGGCAGTACACACAATGGTTCCCCGGATATGCTTCTCCACCATCACACGCGCTGCGTGCTTTACACAAGCTGCCATACCACGTAAGTTGACCTGGATCAATCGATCAAATTGTGAGAAATCGAGATCGAGAATAGTTTGTTTGGATTTACTTACTATTCCTGCATTGCTAAACATAATATCGAGTTGGCCATATTTTTGAACTGTCCAATTGACCATGGCCTTTGCTTGTTCTTCATCGCTAACATCACAACGCACGTAGTTGCACCTATGTGCGCCAATGGATTCAGCCACCGTTTGACCTTTCTCATCTTGGACATCAGCAATCACAACTACCCGTGCACCATGATCGGCAAAAAGATGCGCAGTCGCCTCCCCAATGCCACTAGCACCACCAGTGACAATGGCAACCTTGCCTTCTAGTTTTTTCGTCAACAAAACGGATTCAGGATTTGCCATTTTGTAGGGTACAGATTTTTTTGGGTTGGATGATATACTGATATGCAAGTCATAAAGCAAACCTTTAAATGGAGATATTTTCTAAGCCAAATTATTTTTTTTGTCGGGGGGTGATAGGCTTCTATCTACTGGGAATCTTTTGGCCCCAAAATATCCACAACATTTTGACCACCCAACCCACCTAACTTGCTTAAAGTTGTCTATCGGGATCAGCTTTTTCCAATATAATCCAAAACTGATGTTTACTGGGACCCCCTGTCTATTCATTAATGTACTACAAATTGGGACGTTTACCCAAAAACAAAATCGTGCACAACAAATATTTATTAAAAAAAAAAAAAAAAAACGAAGGTTGAACCCCAACTTTGAGAGCCCCATTATCCCATCCCTAGAGTTTTCTGAGGGTGATAAATCACGAAATGTGCCCAAATAGGTCAAGGAACAAGAGTTGCATGTACACTGCGCCTACAAGGGATTCAATTCCATGTCTCAGGAATCGAACCTCCACACTGCAACTACTAGCAAGGCGTGAGATAATCTTACTCCTGTATTTTGCACCACTGGGCTATACCTCGCAAGCATCGTGCACAAAAACTAAGCCACTACTTTGGATGGTGCAATTTAGGAAATTTAGAGAGTTTTATATATGACTATGAAATCGAAGGAAGAGTAGTCGATCTTTGTTGGCTGCAGTTCTGAGAGCATTCTATTCTTTGTCTAATTTCATTTTACCAAATTAGATTGGAATTCTAAGTTTTAACCAATCGGTAGAGACTTGCAAAGATGAACTAAATATGAAAAATGTATATATATATATATATATATATATATATATATATATTGGGCAATTATAATTATTACAAGAATAAATTTACTAATCTAAGCAATTAACTAAAATGATTAACTATACAAATATATAATCCAAGCAAAAATAAGAAAACAAAACACCAAATTTTTACGTGGAAAAAACCCTCCAATGTAGAGGAAAAAATCATGGGACAACTCCGATCAAAATCTATAATAAAAATATATAGATTACAACATTCAAGTTTATTCCCCAAAACTTGAATTCTCCACAAATTGAAATACCACTATAATTAATTTCTAAGAAAATAAATAATCTCCCCATAAATCAACAATTTGATTAAACTTCTGAGAATCCACTTTGAATACAAATCCTATGAAGTACCAAAAATATACCCTTAGAGAAATCCCCAATTCGTTATGTGTAGAGAAGTAAAATAACATGTGTGATTCCGCACCTCAATAATTCCCCAGCCGCCACCAATTTTACTTCTCTTTCAGCCGATTCTTTCTCTCTCTATTTCTACTTAATAGCCACAATTTCTCACAATTCTAGCCGTTGTTGTTGACCTTTAAATTTGCCTCACAAGAGAGAGAGAGATGTATTTATATATAGCCACCGTTTTTTACTTTAGCAACAATTCTTCTCAACCAAGTTTTTTTACCTAATTAAAGATAATCTAGTCGATTGGGCTTAAGTGGGTTTTAATGGGCTGCAGTGGACTGGACCCACCCAACAATCTCCCCCTTCAGCCCACTGAGGAAAGAAGATTATTTTCTAACAAATTAGTTAAAATCCATGTCGACTAGTCTAGCACAAAGTTCAAGCTTTTCTCTGATCACAACCTTTGTCATCATATCGGTCAGATTTTTCTCTGTATGAATATTCTCTAACAACGTCAATTGTTCTGCTAGTACTTGTCATAGCCAATGATATCTCACATCAATGTGTTTCGTCTGGCGTAATTAAGTACATACTCATCTTGCTTCAAACCCAAATCTTGGAGAAACTGTTTCATCCAAAGCATTTCTTTCGCTGCTTCGGTTGCTACAATATACTCAGCCTCAGTTGTTGATAAGGCAATACACTTTTGTAATTTTGACTGCATGAGACAACTTCCCTTGCAAAAGTAATCAAATATCCAAAAGTTGATTTTCTACCATCAAGATCACCAGCCATAGCTGCATCTGTAAAGCCTTTCAAAATTGGTTTTGACCCTCCAAAAGTTAAGCACATCTTAGGATTATCTCTCAAGTATCTAAAAATCTATTTCACTACCTCCCAATGATCTTCACTGGGATTAATAAGAAACCTCCTGACTACCCCAACTGCATGAGCAATAACTGACTGTGTATAAATCATGGCATAGATCAAACTCCCAACAGCAAAGGAGTAAGGAATATTTGCCATTCTTTCTTTATCTTTCTCCTTAGAATGACAAGTCACCTTATTCAGTTTGAAGTGACTACCAAGTAAGGGTGTAAACGAGCCGAGCCGAGCCGGCGGGGGAGCCGAAACTTCCGGCTCGTGCTCGGCTCGAGCTTTTTCAATACGGGCTTTTTTGGGCCCGAGCCGGCTCGACTCAAAAAAAATAAAGCTCGACCCGAGCTTTTGGCTCGGGCATTACTGAGCCGAGCCGGCTCGTGTTTTGATATCTATCTTTTTTTTTTCCTCCTAATTGCTGCCCAACAGGCAGCTTTAATTATAAAGCTGCCTGTTGGCAGCTAGACTGCTGCCGAACTGGCAGCAGGTTAACTGCTGCCAACAGGCAGCTATAAAGCTGCCGGCAGCTTATTTTTTTATTTTTTTTATTTTTTGTTTTAAATTAAACGGGTCGGCCCGTCAATCCACGGGCCGGCCTGAGCTTTGGCTTGGTTGGTCCGAGCCACGAGCCAGGCCGGCTGGGGCTTTTCCCGAGCCGAGCAACGGGCCGCCCGAGCCACCGAGCTTTTTTGACATCCCTACTACCAAGTGGTGTCCCAACAGGTTTAGCATTATTCATGTTAAACATTTCTAGAACTCTCTCTACATATTTCTTCTATGATAATCATAACTTTCTGGCTTTCCTATCACGATAAATATGCATCTCCAAAAATTGTCTTGCTGATCCAAGATCCTTCTTGTCAAACGACTTGAACAAATCTACTTTCAAACTACGAATCAATTGAACATCTGGTCTCACTATCAACATGTCATCTACATATAACAAAAGGATGATGAAGTTACCATCATGGAATTCTCTAACCTAAACACAATGATCTGCACCTGTCCTGATATAGCTATGACCCACCATAAATGAATCAATTTTTTTATACCACTGATTTGGAGCTTGTTTCAACCCATACAAACTCTTTTTCAATCTGTAAACCATATGTTCTTTTCCTCTTACTTCAAATCCCTCTGGTTGAACCATGTAGATTTCTTCCTCCAAATCACCATGGAGAAAGACGGTCTTGACATTTAACTGCTCAAACTCAAGATTCAAGCTAGCTACTAAACCAAAACTACTCGAATAGAAGTCATTTTGACAACAAGAGAGAATATCTCGTCAAAGTCAATCCCTTTCTTCCGATTGAAGGCTTTTACCACCAATCGAGTTTTATACTTCACTAGCTTTTCACCATCTTTCTTCAGCTTGAACACCCATTTATTTTTCAATGTCTTTTTACCTTTAGAAAGCTTTGCTAGCTAGCTCATAAGTGTTATTATTCTGCAAAGAATTCATCTCTTCCCGCATAGCCTTTACCCAACTTTATTTGTCCTTATGAAATTCTACCTCCTGAAAACATTCTGGCTTCCCCTCATCAGTTACCAACACATAATCTAATATTGGATACCTGGTTGATGGACGATGTTCCTTGGTAAATCTTCTTATCCGAGGTTCTGATGTAATAGGCTGCTTCCCCCAATCAACATCCTCTAAATCATCTTCATCAACCTTTGCTGGCTCATCAGTATGATTGTCGACGCGTGTCTCTCCCCCCTGAGTGGCACTGTCTGAAAGCAAGGAGACAGGTGTAAGGTTGGTGACACCCTCAATAACACGTCTTTGATTCCCAAATTTCTTAACATCTGCCAACTTCTTATTTCCATGAAAAATCACATCTCTGCTTCTGAATATTTTTTTCTTTTCTGGATCCAATAATCTATATCCAAATTGTGCATCTCCGTAGCCAACAAAAATGCAAAGACTAGCTTTATCATCTAACCTCAACCGTTGTTCCTTAGCCACATGTGCAAATACTTTGCACCCAAAAACCTTCAAGTGAAAATAAGGAACATCTTTTCCCGTCCACAATTTTTCTGGAATCTCAAAATTCAAAGGAGCTGATGGAGACCGATTGATTAGGTAGCACGCTGTTCGAACTACTTCACCCCAGAATGACTTGGGTAATCCAATCATCCTTAACATACTTCTGACCTTTTCTACAATGGAACAGTTTATTCTCTCTGCAACACCGTTGTGCTGTGGGGTACCAAGAATTGTCTTTTTATGTCTAATGTCATGTTCTGAGCAGTAATCTGTAAATACTTTAGACGTATATTTCCCTCCATTGTCAATTTGGAGAAACTTAAAAAAATTTCTACTTTCTCGTTCCATCATGGCATGAAACTCCTTGAAGTACTGAAAAACCTGGTCTTTTGATCTCAAAAAGAACACCCCACAACTTTTGTAAAGCATCATCAATAAAAGTAAGAAAATACTTATTACCACCTAAAGACTCCACTTCAATGAGACCACAAATATTAGAATAAATCAAGTCTAAAATATTAGATTTTCTACTAGAGAATTTCTGAAAGGAAACTATAAGTTGTTTACCAAATAAACAATAATCACAAGAGTTTAATGATGTGCTTTTGATAAAAGGTATGAGGGATTTCCTTGCCAAAATCTGAAATCTTTTCTCGCTCATGTGAGCCAACCTTTTATACGACAAGTTTAGTGATAAATCACTTGCAACTACATTCACTGCTCCACTACACACCTTTACTTATGTCTTGTAAAGTGTGCAACAAACATTTCCTCTAACAAATATCATCGATCATTTTGTTAGTTTCCATCTTCCACTTTTAAAATAACTATCATACCCTTCTTCATCAAAGACATGTGTAGATAGCAAATTCAGGTGCATGTCAGGAATATATCTCACATTCTTCAATTTCAAGCTGCATCCAATATTTGTCTAAAGACAGATATCACCGACTCCCGCAATACTGGCAAAATTGTTATTACACATCTTCACCATGCCAAAGTTACTTGATCTGTATGAAGTGGAAAACTCCCATCTTGGAG